GCGAGCGCGGGCAGCCCCGGAGGAGGCGGTTCCTCCCGGCCGGGGCCGCTATGTAGGGCACCACGTTATCAGCGAGGACAAATGGATGCGCAAGCGGYGCGGAGCTCGTTAGGAGCGCGTAACGACCGTGCTCGGCGGGCTCCTCGGCCCGGAGGCGCCRCTCTCCATCCCAGCCTTCGGCCACCTGCTCAGCTAGGCTGGAGCGCGGGATTGAGCCAGGCCTGGGAGCTAAYGGCGCCGGGGAAGGGGGCACAGGAAGGAGCGGGGCGGCCGCGCTCGGAGGCGCTGCGAGATGCCAGGCTGCCGGAACGTCTCTAACGCGACAGCCGCCAAGCGCCTCTTGTATTTTTAGCGCAGCGGCAGYGCCGACATCACGGAGCTGGAGTGGAATCCCAGAATTCCAGATTGCCTCAGGTTGGAAGGGGCCTCTAGGGATCATCCAGTCTAACCCCCTGCTCCAGCAGGGACCCCTGGAGCACAGGACACCCGGAGCACGGGACACCCGGGCGCATCCGGGCGGGTTTGGGAGATCTGCAGAGCAGGAGCCTCCCCAGCCTCCCTGGGCAGCCTGTGCTCGGGCACCCTCACACCAAAGAAGCTCCTCCTCACATGCAGATAGAGCTGCCTGGGCTTCAGTTTGTCCCCATTGCCCCTTGTCCTGTCACTGGCCACCACTGAGAAGAGTTTGGCCCCTTCCTCCCCTCAGGTATTTATACACATTGACCAGATCCCTACCCTGCTGCCAAGGTCCTCCAGATGCAGCCATTGGCCTCCTTGGCCACGAGGGCCCTGCTGCCCCATAGGCAATTTGGTGTCACCAGGACTCCCAGATCCCTCTCCATGGAGCTGCTCTCCAGCAGGTCACCCCTGACCTGTGCTGGTGTCTCAGGTTGTTCCTCCCCAGGAGCAGGACCCTGCCCTTGTCCTTGCTCAACCGCACGAGGTTCCTCTCCAAAGCAAAGCGCGTCCCGCAAAGCAAAGCCCCGCGACGCTGCGGAGCGTGGCACGCTGCGGGGGCGCGGGACGCGGTCACGCCGTGGCGCGGGGTGTCCCCCGCTCCGGGCTGCCCGGGCCCGGGGGGAGCCCGCGGGGTTCGGCCGCTGCGCGGGGGGGAGCGGCCC